GCCTACTACTCCGCCTTTTTAATGCTGGTACGGCTGTCGCTGCTTTGCAGAAATATTGTGTGTATTATTAAAAAAACGAGTCGAAAGAGAAAAGCAGCGAAGTGCAAATAGGAAAAAAATTCAACTCCAGCGTTCTTCAATAGGCAACTGTGTACAGTAGCCAAACTAACAATCAACCAACGAAAACAAGTAATAATGCTGCTATAAAACAGCTAACAGTAGCTGCTGGAGCTCGACAATTCGCAGCCCGCGCTCCGCCAGCATCAACTAACTACAGAGCAATATTTTACTGATACTTATTCATATACATACTTACTTGCAAGTTGCGCATATATTTTTATTGCCGTTGAATTGCTGCACTTTTTCTTGTTGGCACTTGATTTATGCGCAGTTGGCCTGGGGTCAGTTTAATTCTTGTAAGTTTGTATGCATTTAAGACTCGATCTGTGCTGAGTGCGCGGCAACGTGTGCAAAATGCAAAAAGTGACTACAGTTAGCAGCATCAGCGTGGCAACTGGCATCGGCATTGGCTGTGAGACACAGATATGCGGCAGTAATGCAACTAGTATTGCAGCAGGTTAACACCGTTACTTGCGCTCATCGTAAGCTGCCCGGCCTGGCCGCCAGGAGTGCGCTATTTGGGAAACCAGTTGTTGCTGCGCGTGCAACTAGAAAAACAGGCGACGCGTGCATTTAACAATTACTTTATGTTGCTGACTCTCCAGCTGGATGTTGCTGTTTTTTATGCGCGCGTTACACAAGCGCTCACTTAGATTATGGCCTCAAAATTTCTTTCCATTTATGTCTTGCTTTTGTTTTTTGTTGGTTGAATTGCGGGCTCATACTTGAAACCGCAATATCTGCCTGATAACGCCTCAAACAGTTAAGTGCTGCTGCTGTTATTTTATTAACTCGCCGCCATTTATTCACTTGTCATGTGGCCGTTACAAGCAACGCATCTAGCTGTCTACCAACCACTAGAACTGGCGCTTGCTGCCTTGCCAATTTTTCACATTTATTACGAATTTTAAGTGCGGCATTTTATGTGGTACATTCGCGCGTACGCACAAATTATCACATGCGCGTCATGTTAAGGCCATTATACGGACACTGCTTCACACTCGGGCGTCTGCATTTGAATATCCAGCGGTGCGACATTTGAAAATATTATGTTTATGAAGAGTGCGCCCATGCACGCCCCAAAGTTACATTTTGTCCAAATACTAAACAGGCGAACGCTTGGGCATTTGTAACGCGCAACGCTCCTTTTTCTGTTTATGTGCGTTCTCCCTCTAATGGCGCGTATTTTAACATTTAATGTCGTGTAAAAGCGCACATTAAAAATTGTATTACCGTCGCAGTAAAGTTGTTACTTTGGTTGTTGCTTTTAAGAGTATTCTCTTTCCTGCTGCGCTGTGACTGTAGCTCTTGATGCACGACACATATCTTTGACACTCTACAGCTGTCATTTATTTTATGATTGTACTGACAATTGCGGCGACACATTCTCGTTTATTTATTATCTATGTATGTATGTAGCTCACAAATTATGAGCGTCGCCATATTGGCTGTCATATTTCGCTTTCACAGCTGATTTATAGAAAATTTAGCGCGCGAGACAAGCGCTAAGTGAGTGACAGCTTTTAGCAAGAGCGCTGGTGGTGGTGTTTTGTTTTACATTTGTCAAATGTACTTGTGTTCATTTCGGTAGTGCATTTAAAATAAAATATGTTTTCTAAAACACCGCGAGCGTCCACAATGATGTTCCTGTATAATTTGAGAAATGGTTGGTAAGTTGAATTGAATGCATTTTTGCAGAATTCAGAAGTGGCATATAACAATCAAATATACTTGCATATCTTGCTTGACGTTCAAAGGCAAAAAGAGCAAATGCACCCAAGCTTTTCGAGAAGAGAATTGAGACGGCCCAATTGATACAGAACTAGAAGACTGAGACAAACTAAAACTATGAACTAAAGTAAATTTTAACTAACGCGAACCCAAAGAATTTACTTCGTTTATTAAAGTAGATTTTAAGTAAACGCTGTTAAATTTTGCTTTCCTTTTCACGACACGTGTTAGCTAAAAACTCTTAAACCTCACCTTATTTTACAGTTAAGGCAGCGCGCATACTGTTAACACCGATCAATGGCGCAGTAGTCGACGTAAATGGAACACTACATCCCTTCGTTTGAGCAATCACTCTGTTTGCAAATACACTCAACGCAGAGGAACTATTGTTTAATTAATTAGTAAACTCATACGTTCCCAAACATATGAAACAAATTAATTATCCACAAATATGGAAAAGCCACAAATCGAACAACATAATCTTACTACATGCCAGCTGTTGATTCGCATAAATTCCTGTCTGCTTGCCATTGACATCTGAAATTCGATAAAAGGCTAATTTAAAAAGCTTTCCAGAATTTATTTATTAAACCAACACAATTTAGTAATTTTTGGTTAAAAATTCATTACCACTTTTGACGCATAAAAACCCACGCACACAGAAACAGGAATGTTCAACGCTGATAAAAAAAATGGCAAATATTTATAGCAGCAATAAAGTTTGGTTTTTCTGTGTGCGTAAAAACGCTACTGTGCACCACATTAAATCTGCTCAACAATATTTATTTGTTGTTTTCCACATTTTTTGTAAAAAAAAACTTAAAAAAAAGAAACGACAGCAGCAACTTTTATTAGCGATTACAAGGCGACTGTGCGATGTGGAAAATATGCTTTTTACGAGCATGCCGAGTAGCGTGTTAAGCGCATTTTTACTAACGGAATTTATCACGTGTCAGCACAATGTTAAAATTGCGTATTGGTAAAATGAACAGAGTAAATAATTCACGCCGGAGTTCGAAGACTATATTAAGCTATACAGAATCTTCTCAGGGCAAGCATTTCTCTGATGTTAGACCCAAAGGTCTTGCAATTCAAGCTTAACAATTTTTAAAGAATTTCCTCGAACATAAGATTTGTAGCTTTAGCGATTGTTTTATTAAAAAAAAATCTTCATTACGTGGGTTTGTAAAACTATATTTTTTTTTATTTTTACGTATTATTCCTAAAAATCTTCTTGTAGAGTTGCGCTAACATCATTTAGGTTTGCTCTGCTCACCACATTCCAGTTTAAGCTCAAAATACCACTTATTTTGCTATATTCTGTAACCAGTTAACGTTCCTAAAACTGTCGCGACCCCCAAATTAGCGCTAACTGGTTACAGAAACCCCACTCTGATTGGAATGACGCTAAATTAATATTATAACCAGGCTAAATATTCTTCAAACCAACCATCAATTTAATGCCTACTTATTTAGCTTAAGCAGCATTAAAAATACATAGAAATCTTATGTTTCGAAAATCCGTACTATTTTTGAGCGACCAAAGCCCCTCGAATGACAGTGAGTTTATTAGGATCTGTAAAAAGCTGATAAGGGATCGAACTGTATATTTTATATTAGCGCAATATTCTCAGGGCTACTGGTGATTGCTTCTTTGGCCGCTTAGTGTAACAGAATAGGCCGTTCCTCTAAATAATACATTAGTCTTTCACCGACAACAATTTCGCTTTTAAGAGGATCTAAGAAGATCCGAGTCACCGGTAGTGCGAGTTTTTTCTCCGGGGGTAGATTTCTAATAAATTAGTAAATTCGACTGTTTCTTCTGTTCTCCTGACCTAGAAGTAATTGTTTAGAAGGAATAGCGGGGTATTCAGATGTTTGAAATCATGATTCCCAATCACCTCACACTCATTTAACTGTGCGTAGGGAAAAAAATTTGAGGACTTTACTACTATTTCCGACTTTCTTGCTAATCGTTGTGAAGATTAGGTATTCCTTCATATGTAGGTTCTAATCTGAGCAAAAAACAACTAAACTACTTCTAGTAAGCTTTTAAGACACCTCAGCTGATACCAGTTGGCGAAATCTCACTAGTTCCGAACTAGAAATATTATTCTCTAGCTAATTTTTTCCTCCTGGGCGTCTTTTAGGTATTGAGCCTATGCATTAATGTAGCTTAAATATTCACGTTCGGCACTTTAAAAACGTCAAAGCATTTGGAAGTAAATGCGAACTGCCAAGGCTGAATAAGGCTTATCGCAAAATTCTTAGAAAACTTTAACTGAAGTAGCGAGTAAATATATTTAGTAAACAAAGCGCACGCATACATACATGCAATAAATTTGTGCAAATAAAGTCTACAAATACATATACTGTTATTTAAACAAAAGCTTTGTGTGTGTGTAAGTGTGTCTTCGCTGAACTATTAAAATTTATCAATACAGCGGAAATGCCAAGATGCAATTCATTCGCTGTGCTCAGCTCATTCTAAGAAATAAATATTGTGGTTTATACGCCGCCGCTGCCGCCGCCCCCTCTCTAGCCGCTACACGCCAGCTACGCTTTGAAGTAAATTTCTATTTCGTAGACATATGCAAATTTCGCCTCGTTTTATTATTTGCACAAGCGGCAGTTCACATTTAGATTTCAACTGTGGCGTGATGTGGCGCGGCGCGCTTAGGAAAGTAGGAGAGTAGCTGTTGAAAGCTAATTGCGTTTGCTAATTAAATTTCTAATAATATTGTATGTATGGATTTAAAAAAAAAAAGAAAACGACTAATAAAAAAATATTTTTTTAAATATATATAACATTACAAGTGCAATCAATTTGTTATTATTGTCAAGAAACGATAAATAAATCTCATTGCCGCCGCACCCAAAACAATTTTTTATTAAGTGATGCATTACTGTAGCGACATTATTTTATATTTATTGTGCATGTATTGCTATTATTATTGGGTCTCGTGCGCCAATCGCCCGAACGATAAATAAATCAAAGAAAAGTTTGTAGTTTTTTTTCTTGTTGTTGTTATCGAACTACGTGTTTATTAGCGAGCTGCGATAAATTTGCGATAAAAATTTAGAATGCCCACATGTTTGTATGTATGCATACATATGTATGTATATGCAAGTAAAAATATTTTGTATAGCAACTTTTCGTGTTCCACAAAAACCATAACAAAATAAACGAAAATCTAAAACAAAATTAAGTGAAGCGAAACACAAATTAAAATCAAACGAAGAAAATGTGCGAAATATTATCAAAGTGAGGCGCCGTTGAATGTATATAGTTAAGTGAAAAAACTAAAAAATAACATAAAGTCGCAAAAGAAGCAGCATTATACCGCAAAATGTAAACAAAGTGCCGCGCTGCCGGTAAGCGTTTTGCAGCTGCGCAAAATGTGTTTACTTCTTCGCAAATTAATGGAAAATTTCCTATTGCCTGTTGATTTTGACGAGTGAGCGTCGAATATTCGATAATCAGAAAAATTACTACGACTGCGAGCAGCGTGCAAGGCACAAACAACTATCTGTGTTAAATGTGCTTGTCACTCGCATGTGAATTGCGCAATTTCGTGTGAAATTTGTGTTCTAACCTTTTATTTTACTATATTCAACTTGCGAGAAATGGCAAAGCTTATTCTTAGCAAAATCTCCAGTTTTGTTTGAAAAAATTTCTTCTGCGTGCTGTAGTTCTGCCTTCGATTATTCGCCCAAAGCTTCAAAGGTGTATTTCTCAGCAGCATTGGAGTCTTGAAAAGCTATGCTTTTTACAACTTACATGACCATAGGTGAGTATAAAACTAAAAAAAACTGCGTTTGTTAAAAAGAAAAACAAAAACAATTTGGAAAATAATATTTGTTTACCCCATAAAATGTATCAATAGCAAAAATATTTGCCTAAAAATGCGTTATGGAAAATTGCATGTGCCAAAAAGCTTAAAAATAGTTGTCCCAAAACGAAATATCTTAACAGTTTTGTCCCAAAAACTCAATTATGTACCAAATTGGAGAAAAACACTTCTGACTGTAGAAAAACCCGTGTCCAAAAACCTAGTGTCCCAAAAATATTGTCCCAAAAATACAAAAAAAATTAGGTTCGAGGTTGAAACTGTTTCAATGTGAATTTGGTTTTTTATACTCTTTCAATTAATAAAAATCCCGAATCAAAATTTCAAGTTAATGTCAAAGGGCCTCTGTTCCAAAAATACTTTTCTTATTTTACAATTTTTTGGACTAGCAAATTTTTTTTTAATATTTTTGTGAAAACAATATTTTAGTATAAAACTTGTTTAATAAAAATTTTAAATTTGACAATTACAAATCTTAAATTTATATAAAAAATATTATATGTATAATACTGTTCTTTTTTTTAATTTGCTTTACCATTAATTCTAGTAGCTCGTTTCTATAACTCTACCGATTATTTCTCTACTAGTAGGAATATACGTCATTCTCTACTACTCATTAGCAGTAGAGAACAGGGCAGCGAATTCATATCTCAATTCGCCTTGGTAGAAAATTGTTACAGAAACGAGCTACGGGGGTTGGAAATATGAAAAATCAAGAAAATTTATTTGAAGTTAATATGAAAACATAATTTTTCATTTAAATTGCTGGTGAAACCAGCAGTTATTGTTTTTTTTTAGCATTCAAATATTTGTTCGTCCCAGAATTTTTTGCATTTTACCCCGTTATCATATATTCACAAAAATTTTTTGATTAAAAATAAATCTTTTTATAAACTTTTGAGTTCAAAGAGTTCGCTTCCTCTCAAGCAAAACGAGGCTGGCTTTGTGAAGTCACAGCCAGCTTAATTACTTCCAAATCTTCTTTTTACATATGAAATAAAAGAAAATTTAATTTTGCACACAGCACAAATGAGGTTAAGTTCACGCTTGAGGGACTCTAAATAGCTTACTGCGTTGTTTAAATTTTTGTTTTTATTATTTTAGTTTCGAAAACAATGTCACATGTTGACCCCACGTGACGGGACATTGCCATAAGACAAAGTTTCGACAAATAGTAATAAAAATTTCAGAAAAAAAATCTTGCAAATTGCTACCAAAAGCAATTTTGAGTAATTACGTAAAAAGAGGGACGACATACTACTTATAATTTGCAACACGAAACTGTGTAGAGCTACTCGCAAAAGTTAGCGTGTTTCATCAATAAAAAAGTAGTGGAAAAAATAGAAACGCAATTTCCGCAATTTTAAAGTAGTTAAATGAAAATTAAAAAAAAATAGCACAAAAAATTAAATTGGGAACAAAGTAGATAAGCGACATAGAGAATCGCGAACGTGCACAACGAATTAAGCGCAAACGTAAAATGAAACAAAAAAAGGTTAACAGCGGCGAGGTGAAGAACAAGCGCAAAAGATCTGGAGCTATGCGTAGGCTGTGGTTAACAGTAGTGAAACAAAAAGTTTCTCACGCCACGAGCGGTCAAGCGTTCACTCGATGTGAAGTGTGCATGAAAAGCTGAGCCGCCTTCTGAGCATTCTATAAGCCGGGCAAACCACACATTACTCAACTATACGAATAACGAGCAAACCAAAGGCTTATAATTATGTAAAAGCATAGACATTGGCACTGAGTTTTGCTGGTAATCATATAACTACTAAACTTGACTTGGTCGCGACGATGCTTCTGTTACATTTCACTGCACATGCAGAGCCATACAAAACGAATCACACGGTATGTCGATGTGTAATAGAGAGAAAAGAACGCAGAAAGTCTGTGAAATTAAAATTGTGACAGGTGAGGAAAATGTAGAGCGTGAAGAAATGTGCTAAGTATGGAGCTGACTTCCTGGGCAGTCTTGATGCTTGGCGATGAGAGCTTATTGCTTGCGAGAACATAAGGTAGGTTAATACATAGGTATGTGGATCTCGTAGGCAACTTCAACGAATCGGTGTAAAATTGAAGAAGTAAAAAGAAAAAATATTCGAGAAGAGGAAACGTAAATGCTGGTTAAAGTACACGTCCAATTTGTGGTAATGGTGCGACATAAGAGGAACAGGGTGGTTTATTCGACGAAAAAATTAAAAGACTTGAAACAAAACTTTCCTGATGTTATTGATGCTGCAGTCAAGGCGAGCGCAGATTCCAATTATTTGCATATAAAGGTAGATATGGTAATTTTCAAGGCAATATATCTGATATCATAAAATCGAAGAAATAAGAAAAAACAAGTAAGAGCAGCGCTGTCTTCGGCTATGCCGAAGGCTTCATACCTTTCATGAACATCTGCAAATTTTACTTTGACAGATTACTGCTTTTGAATACATCTGCATACATCGATANAGACCAAGCTCGAATAGTGCGCGGAAAATATTAAGTCTGTTCAGAAGTTTCCAATGGCAGTGGATTTGGCGGCGGTGCTTTGAAGTCGAGCTGCTATCGAGAAAAGGCTGGTTTGAAGTCTGGGTAAATCATCATTGTATCGGCCGCAAATGACTACTTCACCAGCTCAGTAAAGGAACACGTGTAGGTTATCCGAACTCCCCTATAGCAACTCCTAAAAAGAGGATTGCTTGGAGAGATAACTACAAAGCTGTCCATCATAATATTGTTTTTACCCACGGATGGAAGGAAAGAAAAAGTACTTGGCGACTAGAGGCCTTTATGAAGTGACAGCCAAAATCCAACAAACCTAAGCCTGAATCCGCTTTACTTTAGCCAATTCAGAGTAATTGAGCGCTCAATAGTAGTCAGGTTACTCCACCTCGATATCTTGTAAATATAGTCCGGTTTGGATCATAAAAGACTGTTTCGCACTTTTATATCACGGTCCCATATGCCCAGTCATGCGACTACTTACCGACATTCACTAAGCAACCGAATTCATAGCCGAATTTAACTCTTTAAATCCATAAAACTTTTCCCCAGCACTTCTCAAAAAATCCCAAAATTTAATTTTCCTTACAACGACTTCGTAAAAAATTTGCATAGAAATAAAATAAAATGTACCAAACGATACCGGAATCGTCTTCTTGTCGTCGCTTTAGCGTCTGCTCTCTACCTCCTCCACCACTTCCACGACTTAGGCGCATTTGTAAAGTCCCGCTGTGCAATTAGCAAAAATTCATTTGCACATAGCAAAACAAAAGTAATCACAGTCAAAACGTTGAAACGAAACCAAAAACAACGGCAACAGCAATACCAATAACAACAACAATTATAATAACGACACAAATAACGAGAACAAAACAACGCAATAAACGAGCAAAAGTAAGCGTGTCGTCTCAGTAAGAAAAGTCAAAGGCTAAGATGTAAAGTATCTACAAGAGGTATTTACAAGAAAAGTCGCGCAATTTGCTTGAAAAAGGCATTTTCACTGCCAGCGTTTGTGTGTAAATATGCGCATTTCATGTTTTACAGTTACACGAACAACGTGCCTGGACACTCAAGCGAAAAATCGATGAAAAATAGTAAAAAGAAACTATTGAAGTGTGTTTTAGTGTTTTATTTTGTGGGGAATCTTGCGTCGCATTCACGTGAGCTGGTTGAAAATGAGAAAAAAGTAATGCGAAAAGCAAATAACTGAAATGTGATGAAGTAAGGGAGCGCGTTGGGTGTTGGTTTATTCGGCTTACGAACATAGATAGGTTCTGCCAGGGCAGTAGATTGGCTAATAGCCGATGTACTCTGGGTTGAGGTCTAGGCTTCAAGTCTTTTGCACTGTTCTACAAATAATACGCTTATAATTTTTAGGTTTATATTTTTTTCCAAGAGTTGAGTAGCTTAGTTACTTTTTCGTGGAAAGCGCTGGATGGATTCGCCAATACTTGACATCGTTTGATATGACTATCCTAGATCTCGCTAAAGTGTGGTATGCTTTAAGTGGACACTTTGGCCTAATGTTCACGAAAAAACGAATTCATAAAGCGCTAGAAAGCGCCAAGAACTTTCTATGCCACTGTCCCATAATGGCCAAAGCGATGCGGCTTTACCTTCTCGAAAATTTTTTGACTAACTATATGCGAGACTTAAGCTCCTCAAAAATCCACAATTTTCAGCGATTCACAAAAAACTAATCGCTTTTGTTTCTCAGGGTATGCATTCATCAGGACCTTAATAAAGGCAGCAACTACACCATTATCTATAGGAAACTCTTGTCTTTTCATAAACCTATAGCCTCATCTGGTTAGTTAAAGCTGTAAGAGTTCAGCTCTCTGGCTGCCTTTGCCATTAAATCCATCTGGTGCGAACAAAACGTTGTATCCGAATACATGACCCTTATAAGGTTACAATCATGACCTAATGGCTTAACTGACTTCTTGTATAAGAAAGGTTAGATGTTTTGGCGCACCTTCCCTTGAAATTTCCGGAATTGTATTTATTGTTTTCTCCCTTCTGAAGGCGAGCATAATTCAATAAACGACCCGATTTCTTTTTTAAGTTCGGGAGGTACAGCATACTGGGAACTGTCTAAATATTTTGGAGTGAAGCGATGTTCCACCGGGGGTCTTGGCAAAATAGAGAGACTTCCTTGGTATGAGCAAACTTCCGGATGGAGAAACCTCATTGGCGCGCTCGCCCTAAGATGGGATCGGATTTCTCCCAAGTAACTTTGTCGTCTCTCTTCTGTAAGCGAGGATAGTTGTTCTTCTGATCAAAAAGAATGGGACCCTTTTTAAATATTCCGGAAAGGAAAACAGTTTGAGAGGAGGCTGATGGTAGATCTCAGGTAGGGAAAATCGCAGCGCTCGTCTCTCGTGAGTACTGTCATGCTTGAAACGCATTGAAAATGACGGGCTACGGGCTACATCTACCAAATTATTTTAGCAAGTACCCTTACGTGGATAATTAATTTATTTCTATTTGTCGAGTGGCAGATAAGGTTCTTCTTATTTTAGGTCAAACTCATACAAATTCATGATGTCGCTGCCGTGTTAATAAAATTCATGTGGTTAGATAATGACGTGGTATTATCTACAATGGCCTCTGTTTCTAATTAGGCCTAATTTTTATTAAGATTTGGTAATATCGGGAATTTATGGTACAAATATTAATAAATTGATCTTTTGATTTTCATGAAAAGGTTCTTTTTTATGACT